CATTTAATTATTATTATTAGTTGCTCGGAGTATTCTTTCATCCGTTACTGCACTGATTTGACCCACATTCGCGATTTGCGTCACTCGTTACAAGAACTGATGAACTGAAACACCGTCGACTTTTTAGCTTTAGTGAACGGATACTTTCACGTTTCAAAATTCAACAGACGAAATTGTAAATTGTTAAAACTAAACAGGTATTGTAATAATGAATTAGCATTTTTTATGTATTCATAGGGCGAGAATCCTTGACTGAGTTTGACCGATTGAGAAAGTCAGATTTATGTAAATGGCACGGTTTGAAAAATTGTACGAGTTTTATGAAACTGAGAGAAATTGCATAGTAAGAACGCAATCGTGTGTTACCATAACTGTGTCTTCCTGTCACGCTTGTTATGTCACCATAGAATACAATAATTATCGATGAAAATTGCTATACTAAATGGAGACTGCGTTTTCCAGTGGAATCTTTATACTTTTATTTATACGACCGCTATTTACTTTTATGAGGAATGTGAAACTTAGAACCTGTTTCCATGTTTTTCATAAGGCAACTTTCTAGATGATTCAAATCACCATTTCGAAAAATAGTGTTTTCCGGTTAGATGAAAAGCGGTAAGTAAAAATTCAAAGAGAAATGCCGATTTCACGGAGCCATGAGTACTTCCTAACGAAAAACGTATTATGCGTGCAACGTGATTCTGTTAACCAGCGGAATTAGACACGCCGAATGATTTACGTTAGTGATCCTCGAGATCGAAAGTCACTTTCGTTTCCGAGATCCTTTTTACTTTATGCAAAAATTTTATCATACGAAATTCCTAATTTGATACGATCGTCATTTATCATAATAATTCCTAAATAAATCACAACCGGATATCGGCACAAGTCTCAACACTTTCTCATTAATGAACTCGTAACAAGAAAGGAATTTCAGTGAATTCTGTAACGAGAAAGCGATTAGTACCATAGTAATCACTGAAGTAATCGAAGCCCACGCAACCATCAATCTCACTGATTTTTTCATCTTCGAAACACAGATTAAAAATCGTCCTCTTCTTCACTTTACATTATCCTTAAAAAACGACCAATTGTTCGTTAGAAGGAAATTCCCGGAGCTGGAGGACTTACCATTATGAGGAGCAATCGTCTGGGAACGCAGTTGGCTACTGACTGAACGGCTAAGTCCTACTTTCGAACTCTCTCTCACTCACCCGCTTATTACCGCGGCTGTCCTCGTGCACGCGGTTACTGGCTCTGGTTCATCTGATTCACCTTGCAGGTGCACCCATCGCTCGCCCTTTCCCTCCGTTTCGACACCTCCTCGCATAGTACGTGACGATCACCGCGCTTTCTTTCTATTCCAACGAAATAGAAAGGCTGCGAATTTTCAAGTTCAAGGAGAAAGAAAGTATCGGGCCAAACCGGTTCAGTCTACTGAATGAACGCGCTCGATTCATTACAATCAATCTATATAATAA